TCGATATGTGGTCGAGTATCACTTATACTTCCGTCTCACGCACACCCGTAATTTCACCATAGAATGCTTACTTCGTTCCAGATATCCCCACACATTACGATGAAGTTAGAGCAAACTGGGTCAGCTTACTAACCACACTTGTCAAGGATTGACTACTGTCAATGTAATGACACACTTATCAATGTGTGTCAACAAATCAGACCATTTCGAATTTGAATGACCCGAGTTACTATCCCTGTTGAGTGAGTGATCTGCACCACCATTTGGGTAGACAAGTTTCACTACATTCTAAAGCAGTCACTCTCTAAACGTAAGAAGCTGTTCGCTCGAGCACAAAGTGAGATACGATCACCTCATGACGAAAACAACAAATACATGTGCATAAAGTTCAGTTCAGTTCAGTTCAGTAGAAATATGTCAAAAAGGAAGGTGAGATATCTTCTTCGGAAAATACAAGTGTATTTTCATTCTTGAAGAATATGCAATACACAAGTGTACAGAAGCGTATTATTAGACTGGTAGGCATATGGATTTGTTCATTCACTCAGTCATCATGTCACAAGGAAAATATGAAAACAAAATCAAAAAGACTATACAGTATGAAGTAGAAGTACAAAAGGACAGATGGATAGATGACACATGAAAATCATCGATGGGTGGAAAGCAAGAAGGCAAGTGGATATTGATCAAGGTGAAGATGATAAGGTGACAAACGTACTGATTGTTTCACACTGCATCTCTTTTGTGATAGGATGTAAACGATGAGTGTGAACTTAGACTCCGAGTAGTTGAAGATGACGGCGCCACATCTGCACCATTGCAGGTCACCTCCACTGCATCATGAACACTCGAGGATAGAATGCTCTCGTTTAATGATATCAGTGAGTTCTTCTTACCTCTCTCTCCGTGTCTAGCTAACTGACGTTGTAGCCTTGGCAGACAGTTGCTGTTTGGATGATTCTCCAAGGTGTGCTGTAACATGTCACTCAGTTTACTGCATGAGTAACCGCAAGTCTCACACACACGCACTATTTCACGACGTTGATTAGGTGTATAATTCAACTGGATTTTGTGTATTTTCCGTCGATGTCCTTCCAATGAGCAGCGTTGGCTGAACGAGCGACCACACTCTGGGCATACGTAAGGGCGCACCACTAGAATTTGTGTTTTCCGAATGAATAAACAAAACACAGAGAATACCGTTACTAATGCATCAATGCATAAATGGAGTGTAGTGTAGTAAGAAACAGCAAATGAAAACTTGTTTATGATGACAAGCGATGTGCATCTAATGGAACCCACTGAGTGTGGGAATATCTACAAAATTGGTCGAAGATATTTGAAATGGTTTCCTTGCAAGGTGGATAGCCACCGTTAACATTGAGAACTACTGACCAGCCATGTGTTTCTAGTCGGGAAGTACTGACTCGTGAATCATCTGTTCTGCACTTGAATTCATGTTCTGTCAGAAAATTCTTCCAGTTTTTGATGAATAAAGGAGTAGAACTTCCAGTTTGTGCATGGGTGATATCTTTACATTCATGATGATGTGCTATAGAGAAGGTGTGTTACAGTCAATACTGTGCGATTTACTGTTTCTCTGGGGCATTTGTTCAGTGTCAGTGGTGTCCACTAGGTCTTCACAACTAGAGGTTTGGTGGTGGATGTTCTAAAACGGTCATCATATTACAATATATGAATGATTACTACTGGAATACAAGTAATACAACAGAATGTGTATAGATAAGTAACAGAAGGGAGCAGGTCAGATGTTGTGCGAAACACTTGGCAGTGTAGCGAACTGTGGTGTAGTGTACTTAAACAACTTGACAACTTTCAGTTTGCCAGCAGTCACAAAATCACATCAGTCTGTTCATAAACCTACCAATATTTAAAAGAGCTTCAAACTCACATGTGTGTTTGCGTGTATGACGTTTCATGTCATACTTGTCATTGAAACCTTTGAGACACTGGACACACAAATTGAATTTGCTTGCACTGTGTGATAATAAATGCTGTTGCATTGGTCGTAAACGTCTTGTTGTACGATTGCATCCCTTGCATAAATACACATCATTATCCAATTTGACACCTATATTAATCGTGTTTAAACAAGGGAAAGAAAAGGGTGGGGAGAATTTTAGAGGTTACTACAGGTGAGAATAGTTTATGCAATCAATAAGTAAGCATTGTAGGTGAATGACTGAGAATGATGCGATTTTACACTTCTATGCATTGTGCTCACACTGAACGATGAGAAATATGTTTGATATTGTAGAGTTGAATGAATTCATTTGCAAAGTTTTGAGATCATATGTTGACATGTAGTGGTAGAATAGAGGAGGTGTTGCTCAGTGGTGTGGACATTCAATGATAGTATAGTATAGTTGAACAGAGTGGAAGGATGGCTGCTGAACAACCAACTAGCTGCATGCTGATAACATATGCTATTCGAAGACTGTGGTAACCAGCATGTGACTGTTGAAACTGCTGTTGGGTAACACTGGATTGAACCTTGTGAGCTAGTTGGGAGAAGAGTGAGTGGCTAGACCAATGCTCTGTGCCTTCAAACAAGTGAGTAGAGTAATCTACTCTTGCAATATATGAGCATACACGTTAGTGTTTAGTGTGAGGAGCCATGTCTGATATTTGCAGCTGCTTCACGAAAGATAGCAAGATAGACAGACAGACAGACAGATAGGCAGGTAAGCAGTGAAACATGTTAGCAGTTCATACACTGTCTAGTATGAAGACTTCATCAAACTGAGAGTGATGGGTTATTCCATTAAAGTTGAGTGCGTTTTCTAACTTATGCTACATGTGCTACTTGACCGACAGTCACAGTGCAACAGTCCACACAGTATTCGACTGTGTACACTCCAACTGAGTCATTCAGCCTATTGACCATATCACGAATTCGACACATGCACTCACTTTTCTGTGTCTCATCGTCATGTTTTAGCTTTATTTTGTTTTCTTTCGTATGGATGTTTAGATAGATACCTGAGAGTAGAGTAGAGTAGAGTAGAGTAGAGTAGAGTAGAGTAGAGTAGAGTAGAGTAGAGTAGAGTAGAGTAGAGTAGAGTAGAGTAGAGTAGTAGAGAGAGTAGAGTAGAGTAGAGTAGAGTAGAGTAGAGTAGAGTAGAGTAGAAGTAGAGTAGAGTAGAGGAGAGGAGTGAAGTAGATGAAGGTAAGTTAAGTGACTGATAGTCTCTGAATATCCCTTATCCATTTTCCCACCTAAATGGAGAGCAAAAAGAGAGAGAGAGAGTTGGAAACAAGGAAACAAACCATATTCAGACTGCCTTTCACTAATAACGGAGTAGAATTTCGACACTATATTAGGTAGATTGTAATTCCATTTCAGTATCCTTCTTACAATTGGCACACAGGGAAACAGTATCATTTACCAGATAACAATTAGGACACAAATCATTGTCCATATTCACATCAAGTAATCCCATCTCCCCTTCTTTCTGATTAGCGCAGCTCTACTAACCTCTCCAGTAAATAATACTGTTCCACTGTGTGGCAACTCTAGTGAAGAGACTGAGAAACAAACTGTCCTTCACTTCATTGATGAATAGACTGGATGTTATGCGATAATCATTACAATGGTGGAAACTGGCTAACTCCTAGTAAAATAAATGGGTGAAGTTCTTATCGTTTCTCAGAAATTAATCATACCTCCGTTGATTGATTTCGATTGATTTCAGTTTCGCTTTCCGAAAGAATCTCGTAGCATGTGGAGGAAACAATGTTGTTGATAAGGCAAGAAGAGGACAATTAGCTGTTGCATGAGTTCATGGTGGTTCAACTGTGTTGTGTTAATATTTGTTGTTGTTGTTGTTGGTGGTGGTGGTGGTGGATATGTCCCGGTTGCAGCTAGCATAGAACATATTGCCTTCGGGCTACTCATTGCATATAACTCACATGAACATGAAGTGTGGGAAATGCTTGTGAATAGGGTTTTATCTGGATAAATCCTCCCTCTCTCTCTCTCTCTCTCTCTCGCTGTGTCTAGCTTCCTCACTCACTCCCCATTCTGGATTACTCATATCAGCATATGATCACCAACTGATTAACATTGACTTCAGCCCTATACTTCCCACATTGCTGGAGACATAAACCAAACGCCTTGACTCAGACAACAAATAATAATCGCACACTGTTGACATTTTCTCGAAGTTGCACAAACGACTGTCTATGGAGTGTTCAAGAATTTTCGCTTGATGCATGGCAGCAAAAGCTGAATCATCGAAGCCGTTCACTTGACTTAACTAACTTGACTTACTACATCGTGGTAGATGCTGCATATTCCAGAATGATCAAAGTTATTACTCCCTATGCCTAGAACTGGTCACTCACTGCTAATGGAGAATTTCACGACACACTGGCCACCATCATCAGTACACTAATTGAAAGCGGTATCTGCTTGAGCAAATCATGTTGTAATATATTTCACTCATTCCATATCATTTCCACATGCTCACTTGTTCATAAATAAAGACATGATAATAAGCTGTGCTGATTGACGAGTGAATGAGTCGAGTGGATTGTTTTGCATTGTATATGAAAGTGATGAAGGCAACAGATTATGTTATCGTTAAAATCATACTTACAGAGTAAGGAGGTCAAGTGCATCAACTGAACTTTTCTGTCAACAGCGAACGGATTGTGTATTGCAGCGCCGTCATTAACGTATTTCAGACAGGGATCGTTGCGTTCCAGCATTGTCTATATACATGAGGAGGAAGAAGAAAATTCTCAAATTTACTCACCTCTTCCATTCAACAATGTTAAGGTGAAAAGTATTGAGAGAGAATGAGTTGCAATTTCATTTGATTTAGTGATTATTATTGTCATGATGAACTATGCATACTATGAAACTATGTCACTCACTAGGTGGATACGAGTTGCATGCATCAACCGTGTTTCATTCACAATTCAGATATTTGACTGGCAGATTTGGGGGACAATTTCCTCCTCTTAGACAAATGTCAATCGATATCATCATCATCATCATCATCATCATCATCATCATCATCATCATCATCATCATCATCATCATCATCATCATCATCATCATCATCATCATCATCATCATCATCATCATCATCATCATCATCATCATCATCATCATCATCATCATCATCATCTGAATCTACCTGGTAAAATTCATTCTCACTCAATAGTGATATCCTGTTATGTATCACTTCTCAGTAGGGAGCAGACATTGGAGTACAACATGTATTGGCATGCACTCTCCAACACACTTCTCCATCAATCCTCATGAACAAGCCTCCATATCAGGCATGTTCTCATCCGAGTGACTGACAGTGAAGAGTGATGCAGAGATTTCAAACTGCTGAGAACTAATCAGGTGAATTTCATCTGTCCTATCAGCATGACTCTAGCACAATTTTCATTTCTCACAATCATGGTGATGTGGATGGTGACGGGTATGACTTCAGAGACACTCAGTGATTTATCAAGTGTTACATCGTGATGAAGTTTCTGTTTCGAGGTGTAATCATCCCGCAGACCTTCCAAGATGACTGACCAGTTTTCGTGACAAACACTTGTACCACATGGTATGCATAATCAGTCACATGCAAGTCAGTTGCATCACTTACTTATCTCTCTTTTTCAGAAAGTACTGTCAATTCAGCGTTGAGAAGACTTACCGTTTGATTTGTTCAGCATAGTCTGCATGATGATGAGTACTTTTGTCAATGAATTAGGAGGAGCAGTCAGACAGATTTCAACCTGCTTATTACTAATCGAATCAAATATTTTGATGAGACAGACAGACAGACAGAGAGAGAGAGAGAGGTGATAGATGTGCTTCTGTAATTCCGTTGTAAGAAGACATGGCCTGTGAATGCGCTCAATTACGCTCAATTACGTATAACAGTAACTGTTCAGAGAGTTAAATAAAGATCTAAGTGAAGGTGTCATCAGTCTCTGGTTGAGTGTTCACAAAGTTCTACAAATGCTCACTGATAAAATCTAGTGGTTAATGAGAACATGTCTAAAACGCAGACGAAATGGAGCTGTGAGCTTGGTCATCAATGAATGACTGGTTCAGTATGTGATCTCATTTGGCTGAAAATACCAACCTCTACCCACTACTACTACTACTACTACTACTACTACTACTACTACTACTACTACTACTACTACTACTACTACTACTACTACTACTACTACTACTACTACTCACACTACTACTACTACTCACACTACTACTACTACTCACACTACTACTACTACTCACACTACTACTACTCACACTACTACTACTACTACTCACACTACTACTACTACTACTCACACTACTACTACTACTACTCACACTACTACTACTACTACTCACACTACTACTACTCACACTACTACTACTACTCACACTACTACTACTACTACTACTACTACTGCTACACATTGATTCTAAAGGTGACATGGCTTTGTGCCGGAAAACAAAGGCACATAGATCGATGATGAAAAGAAATTTGCATGGAATAAATTCCTTACCTTTATTCTCTTCTTGCTATCAGATGGTTCAGGATAATAAAATATGATCGGTGTTTTGCCCAAATCAACACTTCTATCCCACTCTGGTCTAGTCTTCACAACCTCTTCACTCGATATCGATGAGCAATCCAGATTATGATGATGCATCACTGGTTGGTGGTTAGACTCTGTTCCCTTCGAATTGTGCTCAGTGGGATCCATGTTTGTACTTCTATACTCTGATGTTTCTAGATTTGTCGAATTATTTATTGTTTCATTTGCTGGTCTCGTGAGCTTCAGCTTGCTCGTTTGGTTATTAAGCTGAGGTATTCTTGCAACCGACGAGCTGAATGCCAACAGCAATGACGATGATGATGATGATGGTGGTGGCGGCAGTAAATGTTCTGTACTCTCCTCCAGTCTTGGTAAAAGGAACTCATTTAAAACATGAGACTCACTTGACTTCAATGGATGGGAATCGAGTGCTAATGGATTCATCATGTGTAAGTAGTTAACCAGGATTTGAGGGAATGAGAAGTTTGAGTCTGTTGTCTGACAGACTGCTTGCGTATTGCTACAGTTTCTCCTTGCAGTATTCGAATTCGCTGTATACAGGTTTGAATTTGTTGTACAGTCATTTATGACTTCCACATTATTTCTTAGTAAGGATTGGATATTGAATGAGTTCTCACTTTCAATTGGTTGACTAGTTGTATTCAGATTGTTTCGTCTGTGTATCATTTGATGATCAGATGAGAGTGGATGTATGAATATGCCACGTTGTGTCACTACACCTTCTTTAGACACTTTTACACTAATACAATCATTGTTTTTGTTGTTAATGTTGTTCACATTGCAGATATTGGGAAGTGATTTCAGACGTAAGTCAAGTGGGACTTGTGTATTGTGATTCTCAATCTCACTTGTGTATTCCGAATTCTTTGATTCAACCGACTGATAATAGGAAGTCGGTGAAATTTTAGTGTTGCAACAATGTGAAGTATCATAATATGCAGATGGTAAGTCAAGTTGTTTATTTATCTCATGAAGTTGGTTGTTATTTTGAATGCGTTTCAACTGGTCACAATTAGTAATTGAGTTGTGTTCAAATGTGTTGAATTGGTCTGGACAGTAGTCGTCATTTCGTTCACACAGCGTTGTTTTCCATAGAGTATAATTGACTCGTCTTGGTGTTGACGATGCCTGTACATGTGATTCCAGAACAGATTGATCTTTCAATGTTAGGTCCAATCCACTGTAACTTGCATAGGCTTCATCCAGTAGGGAATTTGTGCAATTCATTTATCTAGCAATATAATAATAATAATAAAGATAATAATAATAATAATAATAATAATAATAATAATAATAATAATAATAATTGAATAATCGTATAATATTGAGGGTGAATGGAAATGTGAACAATTTGTGCACAATGAATGCAGATAGCATATTTGAAAGAAACAGTCACATTTGACCATGCTTGTGATGTTTTCAACACCAACTGAAGGCTATCTCGTTATTCCCACTCACTCACTCACTCACTCACTCACTCACTCACTCACTCACTCACTCACTCACTCACTCACTCACTCACTCACTCACTCACTCACTCACTCACTCACTCACTCACTCACTCACTCACTCACTCACTCACTCACTCACTCACTCACTCACTCACTCACTCACTCACTCACTCACTCACTCACTCACTCACTCACTCACTCACTCACTCACTCACTCACTCACTCACTCACTCACTCACTCACTCACTCACTCACTCACTCACTCACTCACTCACTCACTCACTCACTCACTCACCCACTCACTCACTCACTCACTCACTCACTCACTAACACTCACTCACTGACACACTGTAGTGTAACGGATGTAAACTTAGTGTAAAACCAACCATCGAAGAACTTTCACGTCACCTTCGCACTGACCAATAATCATCAACGCTAATATGTTTGAGCATATCCATCTTCACACAAACACACAACTTACTTCTATAAGTTGCTTCACAGCATTCCGCATATCATTTGACCGATTAGACTAATCCGTTAGACAACTCAAGTTTAACAACTAACCTTCCAGGTAGTGGTTATTATCTCTAATGTGACTTATGACAACTACTCGGCGGGATTAAAACACAAATATGCAACGGTCGATGCAATCATCATAACCCAACAACGAATGACGCAATTTCACCCACATTTTAATCTCTGTCGTGGAAAGGGAAGATTTCGAGATTAAGTCATCACTGCTCACAATGAATAAATATTAAATATGCTTACAAAGACAAGCGACTGCCATTTCAGCAAGACAACTAGTTGGTTTTAGGTGGTAGTTAGCTAACAACATGACAAAGAAACACTTTAATCAAATTGCAAGGTGTGCAGTGTGGTATGGTGTGGTGCATTCATCAACTGGTCATCTGATAATAAGCAGGTCTACTCAGTAAGCCTCATCTCTGATGTCTATCGATTTGTGTTGTGTAGTTAGTTGGTGAGCTACATAACTGAGTAGCGTTTCATTTGTGACACTTGAATGTAGGAGGTAGGATTTCAGTTTTGCGTGGCAAATCAGTAGTGACAAATTCATGCTAATCTACAGAAAGTTAGAGATGCGATTCAGTAGAATTCAATCCCAAACTCATGAACGTCATCAATTTTGCCAATGTGAGCAGGATCAAATAAGTCCATTTTATTTCCATGACATATTGCCAACTGCTTACAAAATGTAATCCAAAAAGTATATAGTTCTAGTGAAAAATTAACACATTTCAATTGATTGAAAGAGAAGAGAGTATTGGTTGGTGGATAGGAAGACCAAAATCGTCTAAGAGTATTGCTCAATCAATCAAATCAGCAATGTTAAGGAGGCTTAAAAAGTAGTAATAATCATGAACATAATCGAATGGGAGTTTCCGGAATATAATGATGACAAGGGTAGTAATCAAGATACTGAAGGAATTGCCCCCACAAGGTTGTGCAATAATCTCATACGAGCTAAGTCCAGTTATTTTATATGAATTATGATGAAGATTTGACCGACTAATATGCCAAATATTGTGCACTGAGTAGAAGGTTTACATTAGATATAGCCTACATTCGTGTAAGTCACAACGTGTTTGAAATGAAATATTGCCCGTGAGAAGCTTACACCGGAACTCGAAGCCCAACATCGGAATTATTTCATTTCAAACACTCTGTGACTTACACAAATATAAACTATATCGAATTAATGTTGTGAAGTCAGTTAATTGCAAACATTTGATTGAAATAAGAGATGATACAAGTAAATAAGAGTGAGGGAATAAACATTCAACATTGACAAGCGATAATAATGTGAACTAATAACAGTTGAGAAGGGTTACCAAGGTGACCAGAGGTTGACTTCAGTTTCGTTTAGGATACATAAATCAGGTTTGAGGTGTTTCTCATATTTACTGTTCCACATATGATAAGTCCAAGCTGCGATATTCACTCAAACTATTCGTTTGCTGATTCATATGTTCGCAGGCGTCATATCAGAATGAATGAAGTCAGACTACACAAGAATCACCGGTTAAGTTTCATACATGAAGAGGGACAGTGAGAAATTCGAATGTTGGAAAAAGTGATCGTCAGATTCGAGAAGATGACAGTTGTAACGATGGTTATCTGAGTTAAGTCTACTTGATACCATCGACACTTGGCGAATGAAATGAAACGAAGAGTTATGACTCCATTCTCTGGTGTGCATAAGCAATGCAATTACTCTTGTCTCAGATTAATCCACCAGAAGTAAATACTGAGCTGTGCCTCCTTAGGAAGACTGTGACAGTGTGCCTCGTCTTCTACTGGACTTATCAGTAGATCACCAGAGAGTGAGTGGTGTTGAACAACTAAGCAATAATTCGACACACCGATACATGTGCGCATGCATGCATATACACAAGTGTATATCAGTGAGGATATTACCAGTAATAAATGCATAGATTGACTGCAAACTTCACGTCACGTAGCAATCAGCGAATTCGGTGTATCGAGGAGGTCGACTGAAAGGCGGGATTACACATCTCGATAAGATAATTTCCACAAATGCCTGCATCTAAAATTGCATTCATACTAATCACTGAATATGAAGTCGAGATTTCACCAGACAGAATTTTCCATCAATCAAGATTCTCAGATGCCTCTCCTTGATAAATGAGTACTATTCAGAGGCTTTTTGTTTTATGCAAATAGGTGTTCTCTGTGTGGAAAGGAGGTATAATACAGGTAACAGTGCATTTTGTTCACAGCTGTCACTTCACAGTAATAGTTGATGTAAACAAATCTCGGGGATTTAGTTGATTATGGTTAGCAGAATAGACCAGGATGCGCGTTTTGTCGAGGCGAATGCGCATAGGAGCCCATATGCCAATAGAGATCGAACAATTCAATCCAGTAAAACAACGGAGAAATACAAGCAGATGCATAAATTTTGGGGATGCCATTTAAAACTGTCTTCCCTATATTTCCGGACTTTAGGTGAGCAGTGTAATCCAGCTTATTAAAAAGAATGAGAATTCCTCTCAAATATGGAATCGAAATGATGCCTGGAAGTAATTGCACAAAAGACAAATGATTGTTCGCCTACCTCTAATGGATTTATCAGTAATTGTCAAGTGAAGGGTTTCTGTGCGATGCAAATGTATATATATATACGTGAATACAATCATCAATTGGCGAAAAACTTGCAGTGGAATATTTCCCAACCAATGATAATTGAGAAGAGAAAGTTACACGACTAGTTGATAACTGACCAATGGGAGGCTTGGATTTCACTGATTGGCTAGTTTTGACATTTCAGAGGGAAAGCAGATGAAAAAGTTAGAAGCAGACAAAATGAGAGAGGGAGAAGGATAAGTTAGCTTTTAAACCATCAAATCCTTATCATCATTTATTCAGAAGGCAACAATAATGATACGATCGATTCAGACAACAGTCGATGTGCATGCTGGTGAATGTGTGTAGCTCGAATTGGCAATGTTCTGACAGTTTGAGTGTTCTCCGAGATACTCGAAAGTATGCAGCCAGGAATTCAGTTGAAATTATTCTGTGAATTGCAGGATTTCCGAAACCACACAACAGTGATGCGTGAGCCTGTCAAGCTTTGATTTCTCCATTCAACACTGTTATCATTACTGTAGAGTTGTGATCATGTGGCCAACTTCTCATGTCGACTTATTTAGTTACATTGCTGATACTGTGAAATGAAAGTCCAACGTGCAATCCAACTGAAATGAATATAGAAATGTTGAGGAATAATACAAAATATTTGTATATTTTGTTATTTGTTCTAATATACTTACTACGCGGGATGATACATTAGAGAGACACCTTATACAATGAATATAGATATAGTTACTGTTAACACTTCTAATGAGTGACTGCCTGTCTTCTTGTCTTATATGATGGCGACATGGGGTTTCTGTTGGGAAAAAAGCGATGAGCACACAACCTCTTTACATCCGTGAAATACTTGCCAATATGATGAAATATGTTACTCAGTGGTGAAATGAGTTGTGCCTAATGTGACCTCGACAATCACTGACTTGTATGTTGTAGCACTTCGTACCAATCACTTGAGCACTCTTCTGTCCAATGAAGTAACTGTGATTCCTGATCATATTTGGTAAACTGAGAACCTCCTTCCACAGCATTTCTGCATAACATATAACTGAAACTCATGAGTTATACCAGAGAAACTGAAGGGTAGCTTTCACACGTGAGTTGACCATGTTTGATGATGCTCACTTGAACTGTGTGAATCATCAACCCCCACATCTTTGTTGTTAAGAACAGCCTGACTTCTGTAGCATACAGTGACATGTTGGATAGAAGCTGGAATCTGTGGAAAAGTGAATATAGACTGCAATAAATAGACTCAGCAAATATTCTGCATTTACAAATCCATTGCCTTTTTCAAAGCATTTGGTAAAGCAGTGATAGAGTGGTTATTTTTAGGTAGAGATAATTCCTCATGTTGTATACGAGTGTGGATGATGGATATCTGGAAGTGTGAAGTGTAGTGAAACTCAAATTAGGTGTAATATTTATCTCATAGAAAGGTGATCATAAGATAACGGAAAGTAATGAATGCTGAATTCATTCATCTCATGTCTGTTATTTATCTACAGGAAATAATGTAGAAAGATTTCGCAACTTGTGAATCAGGTGAAGGCAGTTTAGCATGCTTCAGATTTATAGGACTGTGTCGAATGCAAGCGGATGCAAAAGAAGAAGCTTGAAATCTCTCTTCCACTACACGAT